CACGCTGCTTCCCTGAACACAAAGGTACTTGGTTGCCATACGAGACAGCATTGGTTGGAGATTGGATGTGTTGCCACCTTTCCCAGAAATAAACTTCTTGCAGTGGTTACAGACCCCACCATTCAGACTGGCAGTGGTTACAGACCCCACCATTCAGACTGGCAGTCATATGCAGCCACACTTTAGATTTTCAAAAGTGACTTGGTTGCGGAGTTTCACTGCGAAATTGACATCGTAATTCCGACGGTTTGGGCACAAGTTTAAGGATATTATGCCTCACTTTTATAAAAAAAAAAAAAAAAAAAAATTTAATTTTTTTTTTTTTTTTTAAAGTATCGAAAACCGGATCTGATTTCGGTACGGTATACCGTAGCCACCAGTAACCGGTATTTCGGTAATACCGGGAACCGGTATGCATCCCTAGTATGAATACACTAGATATACACAGCAGCCTGTGAGCAGTATGAACAGTGTGTATGAATACACTAGATATACACAGTAGCCTGTGAGCAGTATGAACAGTGTGTATAAATACACTAGATATACACAGTAGCCTGTGAGCAGTATGAACAGTGTGTATAAATACACTAGATATACACAGCAGCCTGTGAGCAGTATGAACAGTGTGTATGAATACACTAGATATACACAGCAGCCTGTGAGCAGTATGAACAGTGTGTATAAATACACTAGATATACACAGTAGCCTGTGAGCAGTATGAACAGTGTGTATAAATACACTAGATATACACAGCAGCCTGTGAGCAGTATGAACAGTGTGTATAAATACACTAGATATACACAGCAGCCTGTGAGCAGTATGAACAGTGTGTATAAATACACTAGATATACACAGCAGCCTGTGAGCAGTATGAGCAGTGTGTATGAATATGCTAAGATATATAAAGCATGAAAACGGTAAGCAGTGCAAGCATAGTATAAAATATATAGATATTAATGTCATGATGATAAACATTGTGGAACAATGATGAAAAATGTGAATGGAAGTGGCGACGTAAAACTGACACAAAACAACAACACACTTTTGCCGAGCCAAGAGCCGCGTTCACGCCGGAGTACTTTTCACCGTACTTTTCGCGTTTAGTTCCGTTAGTACCCCTTATGTCGCATTCACACCAAAAATCGCACTTAATCTCAGGAACTTTTACCCCCATGTTTAGTGCCCGCTGAGAGATCGTACTTTCCTGTGGGTAAAAAGTACCCCAGTGCTGATTGGCTGGGAGGATTGCAAACCACGCCCCGTACAACTGTGAAAATGTTGTGTAGAGCCGCCATTGTTTTTCCTCGCTACAAAAACCCAGCGCACCGACGGAGAGTAGTTTGTTTTTGAAAGCAGTTATGGCAAGCATCAAGAAATCATCGGAGTGATGAGGAGGTGTCGGCGCTTCTGGAGATCTACGCCCGAGGACGCGACCCAGGGAATGCTACTGAAGCCAGTTCAGTAGCTTTCACTCGACCTGGGAATGTGCACAGCCCCACGGCATACCGGCTAAAAATAAAGAAACTCAGGCAGGACTACAAACGGCGGATTCAGTGGCCAACGATGACGACCACGACGAAGGTAAAATCAACTACATGCACTGGGGTTTTAATCTGCACAATAATGGTCTCAGATGTACTTTTATTTGCTCAGTAGATCAAGCTAGCCATGCTAGGCTGAATAGGCTAACACCGGCCCCGAGCTAGCTACATCTAGCTAGCTAGATATTCTCGGCTGTATGAAAACGTTTTGACTTGTGAATAACTGTGCAGTGTTTCTGTAATTTGCTTCACTAACTCATGGCACTAATCGTCTGTTTCAGGCGAGGAAAATCATCAACTCTCGGGATTGGAAACAAGCGAGCTTTGCATTCTAGATCACAGAGCTAGCTTGTCTCCCTTACCAGCAACCAAACGCAAAGGTACACACACTGTAACTTTGTCTTGAAAGAACGTTACGCATCGAACTGATGTTCACAATCATGTTTATTTCCTTCTTGGTACAATTATGAAACAGCGTGAAAACGTATTCGCCTAGACCGGCATTTACAAATGTTCGCGCCTTTTTACTCTCTCACAAACATTGTAAACATCCGGGCTAGAGGTCACATGACTTCCGGTAAGAAAACTTGCCTCAACAACATTAAACAAAGTTCAAGCATACATGAAGCACTCTTCAAAAAGGAACAATCCTCCGTGTTTGAACCTCTTAAATCGCTGCATAGCCGATTTATCTGGACTGGATTATCCTAGAGAGGCTAAACATTCTTTATAACACAGTTTCAGATTTGTGAAACCATCATGTTTCATCGGTTATAAACTGGCAAAGCTTTGTCATTTATTTATCATCAATGTTGTAACCTTGTGGAGGAATGGCAGGGGCACATACACACATATGATCATTTATATCGTTTTAAATATGATTTGACCTAAAACTAAATGTTTTTATGATTGTCCTCTGAGGAGGACATGGGGATTTGCAAACTTAGAAACACGAGTCCAGATGGAAACACGAGTCCAGATGGAAACACGAGTCCAGACGGAAACACGAGTCCAGACGGAAACACGAGTCCAGACGGAAACACGAGTCCATACGGAAACACGAGTCCAGACGGAAACACGAGTCCTTACGGAAACACGAGTCCAGATGGAAACACGAGTCCAGATGGAAACACGAGTCCAGATGGAAACACGAGTCCAGACGGAAACACGAGTCCAGATGGAAACACGAGTCCAGACGGAAACACGAGTCCAGACGGAAACACGAGTCCAGATGGAAACACGAGTCCAGACGGAAACACGAGTCCTTACGGAAACACGAGTCCAGATGGAAACACGAGTCCAGATGGAAACACGAGTCCAGACGGAAACACGAGTCCAGACGGAAACACGAGTCCAGACGGAAACACGAGTCCAGACGGAAACACGAGTCCAGACGGAAACACGAGTCCTTACGGAAACACGAGTCCTTACGGAAACACGAGTCCTGACGGAAACACGAGTCCTGACGGAAACACGAGTCCTGACGGAAACACGAGTCCAGACGGAAACACGAGTCCTTACGGAAACACGAGTCCTTACGGAAACACGAGTCCAGACGGAAACACGAGTCCAGACGGAAACACGAGTCCTTACGGAAACACGAGTCCAGACGGAAACACGAGTCCTTACGGAAACACGAGTCCTTACGGAAACACGAGTCCAGACGGAAACACGAGTCCTTACGGAAACACGAGTCCAGATGGAAACACGAGTCCAGATGGAAACACGAGTCCTGATGGAAACACGAGTCCAGATGGAAACACGAGTCCAGACGGAAACACGAGTCCAGATGGAAACACGAGTCCAGACGGAAACACGAGTCCTTACGGAAACACGAGTCCTTACGGAAACATGAGTCCTGATGGAAACACGAGTCCAGATGGAAACACGAGTCCAGACGGAAACACGAGTCCTGATGGAAACACGAGTCCAGATGGAAACACGAGTCCAGACGGAAACACGAGTCCTGATGGAAACACGAGTCCAGACGGAAACACGAGTCCTGATGGAAACACGAGTCCAGATGGAAACACGAGTCCAGACGGAAACACGAGTCCAGATGGAAACACGAGTCCAGACGGAAACACGAGTCCTTACGGAAACACGAGTCCTTACGGAAACATGAGTCCTTACGGAAACACGAGTCCATACGGAAACACGAGTCCAGACGGAAACACGAGTCCTGACGGAAACACGAGTCCTGACGGAAACACGAGTCCTGACGGAAACACGAGTCCAGACGGAAACACGAGTCCTTACGGAAACACGAGTCCTTACGGAAACACGAGTCCAGACGGAAACACGAGTCCAGACGGAAACACGAGTCCTTACGGAAACACGAGTCCAGACGGAAACACGAGTCCTTACGGAAACACGAGTCCTTACGGAAACACGAGTCCAGACGGAAACACGAGTCCTTACGGAAACACGAGTCCAGATGGAAACACGAGTCCAGATGGAAACACGAGTCCTGATGGAAACACGAGTCCAGATGGAAACACGAGTCCAGACGGAAACACGAGTCCAGATGGAAACACGAGTCCAGACGGAAACACGAGTCCTTACGGAAACACGAGTCCTTACGGAAACATGAGTCCTTACGGAAACACGAGTCCAGATGGAAACACGAGTCCAGACGGAAACACGAGTCCTGATGGAAACACGAGTCCAGATGGAAACACGAGTCCAGACGGAAACACGAGTCCTGATGGAAACACGAGTCCAGACGGAAACACGAGTCCTGATGGAAACACGAGTCCAGATGGAAACACGAGTCCAGATGGAAACACGAGTCCAGACGGAAACACGAGTCCAGATGGAAACACGAGTCCAGATGGAAACACGAGTCCAGATGGAAACACGAGTCCTGACGGAAACACGAGTCCTTACGGAAACACGAGTCCAGACGGAAACACGAGTCCAGACGGAAACACGAGTCCATACGGAAACACGAGTCCAGACGGAAACACGAGTCCTTACGGAAACACGAGTCCAGACGGAAACACGAGTCCATACGGAAACACGAGTCCAGACGGAAACACGAGTCCAGACGGAAACACGAGTCCAGACGGAAACACGAGTCCAGACGGAAACACGAGTCCAGACGGAAACACGAGTCCTTACGGAAACACGAGTCCTTACGGAAACACGAGTCCTGACGGAAACACGAGTCCTGACGGAAACACGAGTCCTGACGGAAACACGAGTCCAGACGGAAACACGAGTCCAGATGGAAACACGAGTCCAGACGGAAACACGAGTCCTTACGGAAACACGAGTCCTTACGGAAACACGAGTCCAGACGGAAACACGAGTCCAGACGGAAACACGAGTCCTTACGGAAACACGAGTCCAGATGGAAACACGAGTCCTTACGGAAACACGAGTCCTTACGGAAACACGAGTCCAGATGGAAACACGAGTCCAGATGGAAACCCTAACCCCTTCATTTAACTGACGCTCTTATCCAAAGCGACTTACAATAAGTGCAGAACCATAAAGAATCAAATTCCGAGCAACAAGCAAAGAGCAGATAAATTCACTTCAAGCAGATCAGAGCACAGTAAGAGCTGGTGAATCAGAGACAAGGCCTAAACAGTGTTTTCTATCATCGGGGGAAATTAAAACTGAAGTACATTTTCAGAATCGGATTCATTCACTTAAATGAGTCCTGTATTATTTAACACTTTGAGAAAAATCAAAGTCAAAGTTTTATTTTTAACCTTTTTTTAATCGTTTCCGGTCCTCGTCTTGTTTTTTCCTTTTATCTTTTGGCCTGAAGTTGAATTGCACAGGTTTATGATCTGATATGTTGTCTTCCCGGACTTCAACATCAGAGACTTCAACATTTCTGAAGAGAACCAGATCCAGAAAGTGAGTGGAGGTGCGGAAGGTCGGCTTATTTGGGTGCATGCCGAAGCCGTTGACCCTTAGAAACTCTAGAAACTTCTTAACATAGGTTATCTTATCACAATCAACCCAGATATTGAAATCTCCGGTCACAATGATGTTGTTGTAGTTTTTGGAAACCTGATCCAAGAGTTTCTGAAACTCTTTCAGGAATTTGCTGATGGTGATCAGGGTTTTCTTTGGCGGGCGATAGAGGTTGATGCTCAGGACGGGTTCTTCCCACTCGTTATGTTGCAGAGCTGTCGCCACACATTCAAAGGTCTCCATGTTGTTGTCTAACTGAATTTGTTCACTATGCAACACTGGAGAGACCTGGATAGCTACCCCTCTATGCCCGATGAGTTCACTCACATAATGGAAGAATCTGAAGTTTGGGGGCGAAGCCTCCCTGAGGACCCTTTCTGCCGTGTCCCACTTTAACCACGTCTCGGTTGTGAAAAGGACGTCCAGCTGGTTTTCTGTGATGAACTCTGAGATTTTGGATGTTTTTTTGTTCATCGAGTGAACATTTAACAACGTTGCCCTGACGAATGGGGTTTCTCTTTGGATGCTCTCTAACTCACTTCCTGTCCGCTCTGTTTGATGGCCCAAAATGGAACCTTGAAACAGAAAGAGAAAGAGAAACAGAGAGCCCAATACCCAAGAAAATACCAATATCATGCTTCTGAAACCCTGCATCATCCAATAAATTAAAAGACTGAAACCACACATCATCATCAAGTAAATGAAAAGACTGAAACTCCACATCATCATCGAGTAAATGAAAAGACTGAAACTCCACATCATCATCAAGTAAATGAAAAGACTGAAACTCCACATCATCATCAAGTAAATGAAAAGACTGAAACCACACATCATCATCAAGTAAATTAAATGACTGAAACCATTCTTCTTCATCCAGTCAATTAAACCATTGAAACCCCACTTCTTCATCCTGTCAATTAAACCATTGAAACCCAACATCATCATCCTGTCAATTAAACCACTGAAAGCCCACTTCTTCATCCTGTCATTTAAACCACTGAAAGCCCACTTCTTCATCCTGTCATTTAAACCACTGAAACCCCACTTCTTCATCCTGTCAATTAAACCACTGAAACCACGCATTATCATCAAGTATTTTGAACCACTGAAAGCCCACATCATCATCAAGTAAATTGAACCACTGAAACCCAACATCATCATCCAGTCAATTAAATCACTGAAAATTCTGTGTTTCTGTGGTTTTCTTGGGAACCATTCTTTCTCCAGCCTCTCTTTCTCCAGCCTCTCTTTCTCCAGCCTCTCTTTCTCCAGCCTCTCTTTCTCCAGCCTCTCTTTCTCCAGCCTCTCTTTCTCCAGCCTCTCTTTCTCCAGCCTCTCGTTCTCCATCCTCTCTTTCTCCAGCCTCTCTTCTCCAGCCTCTCTTTCTCCAGCCTCTCGTTCTCCATCCTCTCGTTCTCCAGCCTCTCTTTCTCCAGCCTCTCGTTCTCCATCCTCTCTTTCTCCAGCCTCTCTTTCTCCAGCCTCTCCAGCCTCTCTTCTCCAGCCTCTCTTTCTCCAGCCTCTCTTTCTCCAGCCTCTCCAGCCTCTCTTTCTCCAGCCTCTCTTTCTCCAGCCTCTCTTTCTCCAGCCTCTCCAGCCTCTCTTTCTCCAGCCTCTCTTTCTCCAGCCTCTCTTTCTCCAGCCTCTCTTCAATCTCTCAGCTCTCTCTCCAGCCTCTCTTTCTCCAGCCTCTCGTTCTCCAGCCTCTCTTTCTCCAGCCTCTCTTTCTCCAGCCTCTCTTTCTCCAGCCTCTCTTTCTCCAGCCTCTCCAGCCTCTCTTTCTCCAGCCTCTCTTTTTCCAGCCTCACTTTCTCCAGCCTCTCCAGCCTCTCTTTCTCCAGCCTCTCTTCGTGTTCTCGTTGTATTTGAGCCATCCCCTGCCTGTAAATGAAACCAGTGAAAATCGTTAGCATCATTTCAGAAACCTACGTTTTCGTGACAAAAGTTCTTATAATCAAATATAATTCAGTGTAATCCACAATATAGAATGCATTATATTTCACGCCGCTCTACACTAAGTGTAAACGATTTGGTAGGCTGGCATTTAAGAGTTCAAGTTATAGTTCATCAGTACAGGTGTCTGTTTGGCAGAGGGGAGAGCCCTTACTCTCAGCTGTCAGCAGGAGGCTCTGACTGAAGGGGAAATGACTGAAAGCTCTAGTTTGGTTTTGACTGCAATCTGAAGGGAGTCTGGATAGGTCCAGACTCCCTTCTCCAGCTGATAATGACACTATACAGTATGTGGGTATGTGGGCGTGTAGTTGCTTCTGATGCTGTTGGTAAGATATGAAAGCAGCAGCTCAGAGACGAAAAAACACAGGTTTTTTTTACTGAGAAATTCATCCTAGAATGTTTAGAATCATTTCTACAGAACAGCAAAAATCTCACTTGATGTTGTCGAACTGAGTCCTCAGTGTCCGGCACATCTCGTCCAAGGCGTTGGCGGTATCTCTCATGGATTGGCTCGCTTCAGTCACGTTATTGTTCTTGACCATTTCCTTCCAGCTGTCTATTGCCTCATGAAGTGCAAACGCAACTCCAACAACTCCTCCAGCTCCTCCAGCAACCTGAGCAGGAATATTTCACACCGTCAGCCTCAACAACATTCACAGTGATATCTCTAAACTAGTATTATGATATGTAGCTGTATGCGGAGGGTTTCAGAGTCATTCAAAAACACATGTAAGATCTTACAGTTTTGAGTCCAGCTATGGCCATTTTTTTGAAGAGTTGATTGCCTGCTTCAGACAGCAGTTTAGCTTCCGTTCCACTTGCTTGAAATGCGATGAATACTGAAACACTGGCAACTTCAACCCCAATTGCAGTCAGTGCATTCACATAAAGCTTTGGCGAAGATGAAGAAGACCACTTGATGCTATCACAGACCGTCCACTTCTGACCATTCCTTCTGGCGATGGCTGCAGGGATCTTAGCCATGACTCGTTGGTCCAGCTCGTCTTCGTCTGCGTTGAAGCTCTCAGCCTTACACTCCTCCCTCAGCTGCTCGAACAGACACGTGATTCTTTCTGCAATCTTGTTGCTTTCGCTTTCTAAGCGCTGCGCCTCCTTCGTCGTCTTGCTGGATAAGAGGTGCTCTGTAAGTTGAGTAACCAGAGATATGGTTAAACCTACACCCATATAGGTTGCTCCTAACCCACCTAGAAACGGAGCCGCTAATCCGCCGGTGCACAATGTGACCACGCCGGCTCCAAGCAGGGTTGCAGCTCCCACCAACAACACTGACTTCCCGACAAACTTGCTGCCGTTGCACTTCTTTCTGAGATCCTCCAGCTCCAGGGCCAGTTTCCTCAGCTGCTTCGCACAGCTCTCCCTCTTCTCCATCCAGCTGTACATCAGAGCCAGCAGCTCGTCCGCGGTGTCCATCATGGAGGCTTCCTTCTGATGCCACTACAGAGGAGGTCTGAAACAAGAACGACAGAGACAGGTAGGCAACTGATCCACCAGACCTACACAGCTGGACTGGTCCCTGGTGGGGTCATGCCATTTAGGGATTTAAAAGTGGGCTTAGATATGTCTCATAATTATTTGTGTGAACAGAAAAATAATTTGTGTGTAAATATGTGATTTGTAAATGTAAAACACCACAAATGCATTTAAAAGATTTGCAAACTCACAAATAAATGTGCAAATGTAAAACGGATCTGCAAATGCGCAAAATATTTTTACAAATAAAAAAAAGATCTGTGAATATCTCTTTAACATTTACAACTTTCGATCAGGCATTTGTGAATCCATTTTGTATTTGTTAACCAAAAATGTGCACGTGGATCTCAACTCTCTGCTTGTGGATCGTCTTTTTACACACACAGGGTTTTGAGACAACCTTTCCGCCGGTCTCGGCTCAAATCTACTCGTGTCACTCGGTTATTTTCGGATGCCACGTGATGGCCTGCTGATGACGACATTTCCGCATGGTTTTCAAAGTAAGAGCATGATGGTTTGTTTAAAGCGCTGTTTTTTTAATGAACAGCGGAACATTAGATGCCATGGCCGTGGGAAGTAGGGGTGCTGAGGGTGCTGCAGCGCCCCCTGATGGAGGACAGGGAATCTGCACGTCCACAAGATTAATGGAAATATAATACAAAAAAAACTAATTTTCGGCCTTGATGTAACAACATTCATAATTAAGTAAAGATAACACCCGTTTCACCCCGGTGAGAGAGAGAGAGAGAGAGAGAGAGAGAGAGAGAGAGAGAGAGAGAGAGAGAGAGAGGACTCAGAGGGTTTAGATAGTTCACTTTAGTCTCAGTTATCTCAGTGACTCTCAAACGGTTTGATCACAATTTATGTAAACACATATTTCCAAGGCACTCCTTTCTAATTATTAGGATGAATAAAAACAGGAGATCATTCCAGTGTATACTATAGGACAGTGAACCAGACATATCGTTTACAACTGGAGATTTAAAAATATGCATAAATAAATAAATGTTAAGGTAAAATAAGATATGAATGAACCACAAAAATAAAATAAGTTAGCTTACATGTATTTGTTATTGTCTATGGGTTATTGGTTATGTTCATATACTTATTGATTATTAAAATGTAAACCGATCTTTTTCATATAGGTGTTTAGAGTTGTACCCCCTAGATCAGTCTCTAGTCACTTTGCTCAGCGCTACTGCTTGTAGGCAGGCATGACGAGACTCTTCAGTCGACCCATGTTCAGGGGAGGTGGGTTTAGTTGCCTGCTAAAATCTTGCCTAGAGCAGCAAATTGGTCAGAACCGGCCCTGGTGTCATCCCCACAGCACCCCCCATTTGAAACATGGCTATGTTAGATGCATTCTTTATCACTGTTACGCCCAGATCTAGAGAAACTAGGCGCAGCATAAAATTGCCCATATGAAACACAACTGTAAACAGATGTACTTTTTCTTTATGGATATTTTACAAATCACTCCCCTTTTTAAACTGTATTCTTGTTTTACTGTCATATAGTATTTCATACCTGTTTTTTATTCTCTTATTGTTTTATAGCCTAACTATAATGATCATATGAAGGAGTGCCTCGGAAATACTTGTTTACATAAATGGTGATCAAACTGTTTTGAGACCCACTGAGATAACTTAGAGTAAAGTGAACTATCTAAACACTCAGAGTCCTTTAGCTCACTGAGATAACGTTATCTGACAGGAGAGTCCTTTACCTCACTGAGCTGAGGTTATCTGACAGGAGAGTCCTTTAGCTCACTGAGCTGACGTTATCTGACAGGAGAGTCCTTTAGCTCACTGAGCTGAGGTTATCTGACAGGAGAGTCTTTAGCTCACTGAGCTGAGGTTATCTGACAGGAGAGTCCTTTAGCTCACTGAGCTGAGGTTATCTGACAGGAGAGTCTTTAGCTCACTGAGCTGAGGTTATCTGACAGGAGAGTCCTTTAGCTCACTGAGCTGAGGTTATCTGACAGGAGAGTCTTTAGCTCACTGAGCTGAGGTTATCTGACAGGAGAGTCT